AGTATGACTTTAACATCACGAACAAATTAAAATTCTTTTCTTGTTCCCAATTCTAATTCTAAAAGTAATACATGTTCAAAATAAGGATTGGGAAGACTATAAAAAGGAGGAAGAAAATGAGCCACAATCCCACGACCCAGAGGCAACCATTATTAGTATTTTGTTTTATTTCTTTCTAGTACTTTTCTATCCTCCATACATAGTAGATATAATACTCAACATCATGTAATTTTTTCCTTAAGATTATATGGAGTGGGACGTGAGAAGATGGCAGCTGGCAGGACGGAGGTGAGGGAGAGGATGTGAGTGAGTGAGAGGGTGAAGGGAGAGTGTGTGGATGCGTGTGGTGTGTGTGTGAGTGAGGGAGGGACAGTTAAATCCTACAGGAGTAGCAGGGGCTGGCCGACCAGACTCTCCTGGACAGGGAGCACCTACCATCGCGTGGACACTTCTGGGGCTGCGGGACTCGGGCAGGGAACCCACGCCATCTTGAAGGGGAGAGCGGCCTCATCTAGGAACTCGTCAACACCACCACCCACACAGCCCTTGGACACTGCCCACGACCCAGCAGCCACTCCAGCCAAAATCCTGCAGCCCCACCCACAGACCCGCAGACCCTAGGACCTCCACCTCCAAAGGAGCACCGCTCCCACAGCAGTAAGTGCAGCTTCCCCCTCCCCAGTGGCAGGCCTCTGGGCACCACATTCGCGCGTATCCAGCGTGCAAGCCTCTGGAGCCCACCACCCGACAGGCAGCCCCTGGGAGTCACTGCAAGCGCCCGCTGAGTGCGATATTGTGCAAATGAGGGTGCACTGCCCCACAGTAAAAATTCTGATTTCATTCTTCCTGAATAACTGCCCACAGACACTGTCGCACAACTTCAGCGCCAGGGCCCCTCAAGGTGCGTCAGACACACGGCAAACGCCAGCTGGTGGGTGTCCGGAGCCCACCACCCCACAGGCAGCCCCTGGGAGCTGCTGCAAGCCCCTCACAGAGTGTGATATTGTACAGACAGTGGCGTACTGCCCCACAGGAGAAATTCTGAATTTACTCTCCTGAATAACTGCTTATAGACACTGTCGCACAACTTCAGCCCCAGGGCCCCTCAGGGTGAGTCAGAGCTCCGTGCTGCAAACGCCCCGCCACAGACGTGCATTTCCAGCAGGCAGGCATCCGGAGCCCACCACCCCAAAGGCAGATCTTGGGAGCCACTGAGAGCCTCGCTGGGTGCGATATTGTGCAAACGGGGGTGCACTGCCCTGCAGCAGAAATTCTGGATTGACTCTTCCTGAATAACTGCCCACAGACACTGTTGCACAACTTCAGCACCAGGGCCCCTCAAAGTACATCAGAGCTCCACGCCGCAAATGCATCACGGTGCCCCTGTGAGCTGCCACTGGGAGCGTGTGTATCCATCCACAGGCACAGCAGCAAAAACTGAGTCTTCCCACTCCACTGCTGCAGAACTCTGGACACTACAGTCATGCTTTTCCAGCACGCAGGCCTCCTGAGACCACGGCTCTACAGGGTGCTCTTATCCAAACAAGGGTGCACTGCCCCAACAGTAGAAATTCTGAATACCCTCATCCTGGATACCTGCCCACAGCTGCCTCGATCGCTTGGCTTCAACCAGGGCTCTTCAGAGTGTGCCAGGGCGCTGCGCTGGCAAGCACACCACGGGTGCCCCTGTGAGCTGCCACTGGGAGCGTGTGCATCCAACCACAGACGCAGCAGTAAAAACTGAGTCTTCCCACGCTACAGCTACAGAACTCTGGACACCACAGTTGTGCCTTTCCAGTGTGCAGGCCTCCTGAGCCCCACTACCCTGACAGACAGCTCCTGGGTACCTCTGTGAGCCCTGTCTGGGCATGTGCGATTTCAACCAAGGATGCAAGACAGCAATAATTGGGACATCCCCCTTCCCGGCTGCTGACATCTGGACACCGCAATTGCGCCTCTCCAGCTTGCAGGCCTACATCAAAAAATCCCAAATAGCTTAAGTAGGGAGCTATGATAGATTACCAAGCTCAGGATATCTGAGAGATCACACCACCAGCACCATCCTTAAAAGAAACTGGGTAGCAAAACAGTCAGATCTAGGACACAGAAACAATTAAAACGTTAGAGCAAAACATGGGGAGACAAAAAAGCAATCCCCAAAGGAAAGAAAACGAGAAATCACCAGAGAGGGAGTTAAATGAAACCAAGGCAAGTAACTTCTCAGAGAAAGAATTCAGAGTAATGGTTATAAGTAATGGCTGGATGACAAATACACGCAACTCAATGACAAATACACACAACCCAATGAGAATTATAAGGAGCTGAATGAGAATGTCACCAGTATGAAAAGGAACCAAGAGGAAATGAAGAACGACACAGCTGCAATAAAGAACACAATGGGAGGCTTAAACAGTAGACTAGAAGAGGCTGAGGACCGCATCAGCGAGCTAGAAGACAAGGTAGGAAAAAACACACAAACACAGCTGCAACTGGAAAGAAAATTTAAAAAGCAAGAGGGAGCTTTGGGACAACACAAAACAAAACAACAACCGCATAATAGGGGTACCAGAAGGAGAGGAAGAGAAGCAAGGAATAGAAAACCTGTTCAGAGAAATAATGACAGAAAACTTCCCCTACCTGGTGAAAGAAATAGAATTACAAGTCCAGGAGGT